AGCATGGTTTTAAATTCTTGAGACTTCAGGTTGTTGAGTTATTAGGTCAGATCCCATTTTTATGCTCTCGCGAGTAGCGATTGATGCACTTGTTTCAAGATATCTCAGCTTCTGATTGGAGCTAAGCGTTCATCTTGGGCATTGAAATGGTCAGAATCATCACATTGAGTGGAGTAGAGCATAGTTTTAAAGTCTTTAGACTTCAGGTTGTTGAGTTATTAGGTCAGATCCCATTTTTACGCTCTCGCGAGTAGCGATTGATGCACTTATTTCAAGATATCTCAGCTTCTGATAGGAGCTAAGCGTTCATCTTGGGCATTGGAATGGTCAGAATCATCACATTGAGTGGGGTAGAGCATAGTTTTAAAGTCTTGAGACTTCAGGTTGTTGAGTTATTAGGTCAGATCCCATTTTTACGCTCTCGCGAGTAGCGATTGATGCACTTATTTCAAGATATCTCAGCTTCTGATTGGAGCTAAGCGTTCATCTTGGGCATTGAAATGGTCAGAATCATCACATTGAGTGGGGTAGAGCATAGTTTTAAAGTCTTGAGACTTCAGATTGTTGAGTTATTAGGTCAGATCCCATTTTTACGCTCTCGCGAGTAGCGATTGATGCACTTATTTCAAGATATCTCAGCTTCTGATAGGAGCTAAGCGTTCATCTTGGGCATTGAAATGGTCAGAATCATCACATTGAGTGGGGTAGAGCATAGTTTTAAAGTCTTGAGACTTCAGGTTGTTGAGCTATTAGGTCAGATCCCATTTTTACGCTCTCGCGAGTAGCGATTGATGCACTTATTGATGCACTTATTTCAAGATATCTCAGCTTCTGATAGGAGCTAAGCGTTCATCTTGGGCATTGAAATGGTCAGAATCATCACATTGAGTGGGGTAGAGCATAGTTTTAAAGTCTTGAGACTTCAGGTTGTTGAGCTATTAGGTCAGATCCCATTTTTACGCTCTCGCGAGTAGCGATTGATGCACTTATTTCAAGATATCTCAGCTTCTGATTGGAGCTAAGCGTTCATCTTGGGCATTGGAATGGTCAGAATCATCACATTGAGTGGGGTAGAGCATCTTGGAACTTCATGTTGTTGAGTTATTAGGTCAGATCCCATTTTTACGCTCTCGCGAGTAGCGATTGCCAAGAAATATCAATAAAATTTTACTAAAACCTCTAGCCCTAGGAACATGCATTACCCCACTTAATTTGATCATTCTGACCATTTTAATGCCCATGATAAGCGCTTAGCTTCAATCAGAAGCTGAGATATCTTGTAATAAGTGTGTCAATCGCTACTCGCGAGAGTGTAAAAATATGTTTTAACCTAATAATTCAACAACCTGAAGTCTGAAGACTTTAAAACAACACTCTACCCCACTCAATGTGATGATTCTGACCATTTCAATGCCCAAGATGAACGCTTAGCTCCAATCAGAAGCTGAGATATTTTGAAATAAGTGCATCAATCGCTACTCGCGAGAGTGTAAAAATGGGATCTGACCTAATAACTCAACAACCTAAAGTCTCAAGACTTTAAAACCATGCTCTACCCCACTCAATGTGATGATTCTGATCATTTCAATGCCCAAGATGAACGCTTAGCTCCAATCAGAAGCTGAGATATCTTGAAATAAGTGCATCAATCGCTACTCGCGAGAGCGTAAAAATGGGATCTGACCTAATAACTCAACAACCTGAAGTCTAAAGACTTTAAAACTATGCTCTACTCCACTCAATGTGATGATTCTGACCATTCCAATGCCCAAGATGTACGCTTAGCTCCAATCAGAAGCTGAGATATCTTGAAATAAGTGCATCAATCGCTACTCGCGAGAGCATAAAAATGGGATCTGACCTAATAACTCAACAACCTGAAGTCTCAAGACTTTAAAACTATGCTCTACCCCACTCAATTTGATGATTTTGACCATTCCAATGCCCAAGATGAACGCTTAGCTCCAATCAGAAGCTGAGATATCTTGAAATAAGTGCATCAATCGCTACTCGCGAGAGCATAAAAATGGGATCTGACCTAATAACTCAACAATCTGAAGTCTTAAGACTTTAAAACCATGCTCTACCCCACTCAATATGATGATTCTGACCATTTTAATGCCCAAGATGAGCGCTTAGCTCCAATCAGAAGCTGAGATATCTTGAAATAAGTGTAATAATTGTTACTGCAAGACTGTTATATAGTAAAATCGGATTTTTGGCGATTTCTCAAAAACTAAGTCTCTTAGGCCTTAAGTATCTTCATAGCACTAATATAAACATGCATCTTAGGCACATTTTGGTATATGTCTAAGGTCTGTATCTCAATCAGAAGCTGAGATAATCTATAGTGGGGGTCGCGAAATGGGCGCGGTCAAAAAGGGCGTGATTCCGAGAAATGCCCCACTGGTGAAAAAGTGTACCCGAGTAATTATTGTTATTTAGGACCATATAAGTCGGATTACATCAAGAAACCGAGCGGACGTCCCAATGTGAGCAGGACTTTTGCCTGGTCCAGGATTAACAGGAATGTAATATTCCTTATCTCTCCACAGGAATGTAATATTCCTTATCTCTCCACAGGAATGTAATATTCCTTATCTCTCCACAGGAATGTACGAAGTATTTTTACTGATAGTTGGAAGTAGAGATCCCGATGTTTTTAAAGTCAATGCTATTGGTTTTACTGTTGTCTCCATCTCTTATCTGGTAAGGAAGCCTTTTTGTCGATACTAGCTCTTTATCAACTAAATTTTATTACTGTAATGTCTTTTAGATACATATAATATTCATAATTCAAGTTTAAAAGTGTAATCGAGTTTATTCATTAAATTATTCATCATTATTATGTGATAATCTTGTAAGATTTCCTTTATTTCCTTACTGCAGCTCTTAACCTCAATAGTGACAATTTGATTTAAACTGAGCGTTCAAAATATCGACAATCTTCAATTTGCTAATTTATCTAAAACGAGCTTTTGTCTGAAATGTTAAACGCCGCTTCATTAGCTATATTGCTCCGTCCTGTTGTTGTTCAATGTACCTACATTTACATGTAATACAGTGGAGCGTAATGAAGGTATAAAGATTGATAATGGTTATCATGAACAATGAACATGATCAAACAGCAGAGTTGAACATACTTTATAGTTTGTATGGTTCCAGTATATTCTCAAAACTCTCTTTGATAGCATTGCCAATTATCTCAGTTACAATACGGTCTCAGTGTCGCAGCAACTACACACATTTCACAGTCAGTGGCGTCAGGAAAAGTAAGTTCAGCAATTATTACAATTATTACAACTATTATAAATGATTATACGCATAATATTAAATAACAATGACTTGAAACTATAATTTGAATCGATATGGGCATAAATAATATATTCATATAATCTTGCGAACTGGGGCACACTTCAAATTAAATAAATTAAATAGCATAATTAAGATTTAAGTCAATGAGACCTGCAGTTGTAGTAACCAGTTTGTACACCTCAGGTCGATAACGCCAGGAAGTATATAAGAAGTACAATATTCTCATCTCTTCTCACTTCAACTCTACTTGTAGCCAGCGGTCTCGCATGTTAGTAATTAGTAGTAATTAGTAATTAGTAGTGTGGATTAGTAATTAGTAGTAATTAGTAATTAGTAGTGTGGATTAGTAATTAGTAGTAATTAGTAATTAGTAGTGTGGATTAGTAATTAGTAGTGTGGATTAGTAATTAGTAGTGTGGATTAGTAATTAGTAGTAATTAGTAATTAGTAGTGTGGATTAGTAATTAGTAGTAATTAGTAATTAGTAGTGTGGATTAGTAATTAGTTGTGTGGATTAGTAATTAGTAGTGTGGATTAGTAATTAGTAGTGTGGATTAGTAATTAGTAGTGTGGATTAGTAATTAGTAGTGTGGATTAGTAATTAGAAGTGTGGATTAGTAATTAGTAGTGTGGATTAGTAATTAGAAGTGTGGATTAGTAATTAGTAGTGTGTATTAGTAATTAGTAGTGTGGATTAGTAATTAGTAGTGTGGATTAGTAATTAGTAGTGTGGATTAGTAATTAGTAGTGTGGATTAGTAATTAGTAGTGTGGATTAGTAATTAGTAGTGTGGATTAGTAATTAGAAGTGTGTATTAGTAATTAGTAGTGTGGATTAGTAATTAGTAGTGTGGATTAGTAATTAGTAGTGTGGATTAGTAATTAGTAATGTGGATTAGTAATTAGCAGTGTGGATTAGTAATTAGTAGTGTGGATTAGTAATTAGTAGTGTGGATTAGTAATTAGTAGTGTGGATTAGTAATTAGTAGTGTGGATTAGTAATTAGTAGTGTGGATTAGTAATTAGTAGTGTGGATTAGTAATTAGTAGTGTGGATTAGTAATTAGTAGTGTGGATTAGTAATTAGTAGTGTGGATTAGTAATTAGTAGTGTGGATTAGTAATTAGTAGTGTGGATTAGTAATTAGTAGTGTGGATTAGTAATTAGTAGTGTGGATTAGTAATTAGTAGTCCCCATCTTAATATTCATTATTTAATTAATTACGCGGGTATTGGTGAGAAGTTTGTTAATTCTGATGTGCATTTTAAAACACTATTTTAGCTGTTCTAAGACATTTTTATAATAATGCTAACTAATTACTAAACCCACGACTAAACATTATTACTTGAATTAATTTCTGAACACTTTGTAAAAAATGCCCATGCTTTTTTTTGTGAATTTACAAAACATGAAGGATAGAAAATACAGTAAGTAAGTGTGATAAGTAAGATAAAAAGAAAGAGACAAGTAAAACATGAAGGATAGAAAATACAGTAAGTAAGTGTGATAAGTAAGATAAAAAGAAAGAGACAAGTAAAACATGAAGGATAGAAAATACAGTAAGTAAGTGTGATAAGTAAGATAAAAAGAAAGAGACAAGTAAAACATGAAGGATAGAAAATACAGTAAGTAAGTGTGATAAGTAAGATAAAAAGAAAGAGACAAGTAAAACATGTGTCCCACACAGGTCAAGCTGCTCTCTCTAAAGTATTCTCTCCTTCACAATACTTAAATAAACTAACTCCTTGGATAGTCTGCTATGTCTTCCTCGACGCTTATCAGGTATGTAATTAAACTACCTGATATTACATGCGCTATTTATTATTTATTGTAGTTACTGCTTTTAAAACTTTCACAGAATGTTAATAGTTGTGAGCATATTGTGTCCGCTATAATACCGATCACGTCAGCGATTTGTTCTGACCAACAAATTTCACCGCTATTTATTTCCATAATATCAGTTACATGTAAGGCCATTATGTTGGTTTATCAATCAAAAACAAGTCATGTATTACATTTGTTAAAATAATAACACCAATCAGCCGACAGCATACTATAACTATTTGATTTGACACGTGACAGTGATTCTGGCACGTGCCATGTGGTGCATCTCCCAATCAGTTACTACATCTTAGCCTCTCTGCCCCCCCCCCCCCCTTTATTGATCCGATCCCGGGTGCTGATATCTTGAGTTGCCCCCCCCCCCTTTATTGATCCCGGGTGCTGATATCTTGATTTGCCCCCCCCCCCTTTATTGATGCCGGGTGCTGATCTCTTGAGTTGCCCCCCCCCCTTTATTGATCCCGGGTGCTGATATCTTGAGTTGCCCCCCCCCTTTATTGATCCCGGGTGCTGATATCTTGAGTTGCCCCCCCCCTTTATTGATCCCGGGTGCTGATATCTTGAGTTGCCCCCCCCCCCCCTTTATTGATCCCGGGTGCTGATATCTTGAGTTGCCCCCCCCCCCTTTATTGATCCCGGGTGCTGATATCTTGAGTTGCTCCCCCCCCCCCATTTATTGATCCCGGGTGCTGATATCTTGAGTTGCCCCCCCCCCCCTTTATTGATCCCGGGTGCTGATATCTTGAGTTGCCCCCCCCCCCTTTATTGATCCCGGGTGCTGATATCTTGAGTTGCCCCCCCCCCCCCTTTATTGATCCCGGGTGCTGATATCTTGAGTTGCCCCCCCCCCCTTTATTGATCCCGGGTGCTGATATCTTGAGTTGCCCCCCCCCCCTTTATTGATCCCGGGTGCTGATATCTTGAGTTGCTCCCCCCCCCCCCATTTATTGATCCCGGGTGCTGATATCTTGAGTTGCCCCCCCCCCCCCTTTATTGATCCCGGGTGCTGATATCTTGAGTTGCCCCCCCCCCCCCCCTTTATTGATCCCGGGTGCTGATATCTTGAGTTGCCCCCCCCCCCCCCTTTATTGATCCCGGGTGCTGATATCTTGAGTTGCCCCCCCCCCCTTTATTGATCCCGGGTGCTGACATGTTTCCCGCCCCCCCCCCCTTTATTGATCCCGGGAGCTGATATCTTGAGTTGCCCCCCCACCCTTTATTGATCCCGGGTGCTGACATGTTTCCCGCCCCCCCCCCCTTTATTGATCCCGGGAGCTGATATCTTGAGTTGCCCCCCCCCCCTTCCTTCATTGATCCCGGGTGCTGATATCTTGAGTTGCCCCCCCCTTTATTGATCCCGGGTGCTGATATCTTGAGTGCCCCCCCCCCCCCCTTTATTGATCCCGGGTGCTGATATCTTGAATGCCCCCCCCCTTTATTGATCCCGGGTGCTGATATCTTAAGTGCCCCCCCCCCCTTTATTGATCCCGGGTGCTGATATCTTGAATGCCCCCCCCCCCTTTATTGATCCCGGGTGCTGATATCTTAAGTGCCCCCCCCCCTTTATTGATCCCGGGTGCTGATATCTTGAATGCCCCCCCCCTTTATTGATCCTGGGTGCTGATATCTTGAATGCCCCCCCCCCCTCTTTATTGATCCCGGGTGCTGATATCTTAAGTGCCCCCCCCCCCTTTATTGATCCCGGGTGCTGATATCTTGAGTTGCCCCCCCCCCCTTTATTGATCCCGGATGCTGATATCTTGAGTTGCCCCCCCCCCCCTTTATTGATCCCGGGTGCTGATATCTTGAGTTGCCCCCCCCCCCCCTTTATTGATCCCGGGTGCTGATATCTTGAGTTGCCCCCCCCCCCCCTTTATTGATCCCGGGTGCTGATATCTTGAGTTGCCCCCCCCCCCCCCCCCCCTTTATTGATCCCGGGTGCTGATATCTTGAGTTGCCCCCCCCCCCCCCTTTATTGATCCGGGTGCTGATATCTTGAGTTGCCCCCCCCCCCCCCCTTTATTGATCCCGGGTGCTGATATCTTGAGTTGCCCCCCCCCTTTATTGATCCCGGGTGCTGATATCTTGAGTTGCCCCCCCCCCCCCTTTATTGATCCCGGGTGCTGATATCTTGAGTTGCCCCCCCCCCCCCTTTATTGATCCCAGGTGCTGATATCTTGAGTTGCCCCCCCCCCCCCTTTATTGATCCCGGGTGCTGATATCTCGAGTTGCCCCCCCCCCCCCTTTATTGATCCGGGTGCTGATATCTTGAGTTGCCCCCCCCCTTTATTGATCCCGGGTGCTGATATCTTGAGTTGCCCCCCCCCCCCCCTTTATTGATCCCGGGTGCTGATATCTTGAGTTGCCCCCCCCCCCCCCCCCCCTTTATTGATCCCGGGTGCTGACATGTTCCCCGCCCCTTTCTCCTCTGAGTGTAAATATTTTAGAGAAATGAGCTACCTGGGACACACTCTCCAGATACCTAAATTAAATTAGAACTGACACCACACATTCTGTAATATTATACCAATCCGATCAGAAGAGTAAAAGCGAAATACGTGTCCCATATTTTAGGACATCATCATTGTACTAACGTAATATATATAATTTATAACTAATTCTTATCCTAATTACTCCGGTAATTTTCAGATAACGATGAACGGAATTTTAAGGGGACTTAACCGTCACATTACGCCTATGATAATAACAACTGTTGGTTTTATCACATCCTTAGTTACAGGTAAATTTATAACATTCCGGCTTAACTATTTATGTAACTAATGATGCATATTGTTGTAGTGACTTGTATTATTAATAAATATTGAATAATGATGTGCATGTATAGATTAATATCGGACACGTGGCCCTTTGCTTGCGATCCTGATTGTAAATCTTAATATCCGATTGCTATGAACTGATACACATGAACTGACATATGTACCTAAACACGCATCAATGTTAGCTTGCAGGATGACATGCACCTATTTGCGGATTCATGTCAATCTTTTAATTTATGAAAATATTTAACGGAATATGCTAAACGTTTTTGGAAGGCGCATAAACTCTGGTAGGGTACCATGTGAACGCGCGCTAGCTAACTCGCGCGCGCGTGGGCACTCAGGGCAGATACATATTATACAAATCTCTGGTACGGAGCTAGGTTGTAGGTACCGATCTCCACCCCGGTCCTTAGAGCCAGCGCCCGGGCTCCAGCCATGAATAGAAGCATGTTAGGACTAATACTGGGTATACTGTCAATCAAATCTTTAATCGGTGCACCTGCCGAATCACCGCCAACATGTTAGATCGAAAATTATTAACAAACAAAACAGATAAGTACACACGGTGCACCGTATTAGTTGATGAAGAAATAGATTATATTATGATAAACAGACAAACTAATTAATTAATTAATTACTAAATAACTTGCAGGTTCCCTGTTGCTCCTGAAACCTAGTCTGCAGGTATCAGGCGTGTGGATTGGTCTGTGTGTGGGCGGTGTTGTAATATGTATCGGACTAACGGTACAACTTGATTACGCCAGAGTTGATGTTAATAACGCTTCTGTAATGTTCAGGTATTACTGGTTTTATACTATATCACTATATGCTATTTGGTGGTTTGTAAATATTACTAAGGGGGGGGGGTCCAAGGGGAACTTTGGGAAAGTCCCCCAAGATTTCTTAAGTTCCCCAAAAAAAAGTTCCCAAAAATACCCCAAAATTATTCAAAATTTCTCTAATATACATTAATACCCATTAATGTTAACATGTATGTTATTATAAGGTATAATCTTAACTTACTTGTTGATACTTGCAGCATGATAATTTTTTTGGCATGATCATTTTTTTGGGGAACTTTTGGGGAACTTTCTGAAGTTCCCCAAAAAAAAGTTCCCCAAATTTATTCAAAATTTCTCTAATATACATTAATACCCATTAATGTTAACATGTATGTTATTATAAGGTATAATCTTAACTTACTTGTTGATACTTGCAGCATGATAATTTTTTTGGCATGATCATTTTTTTGGGGAACTTTTGGGGAACTTTCTGAAGTTCCCCAAAAAAAAGTTCCCCAAATTTATTCAAAATTTCTCTAATATACATTAATACCCATTAATGTTAACATGTATGTTATTATAAGGTACTGAATCTTAACTTACTTGTTGATACTTGCAGCATGATAATTTTGTTGGCATGATAATTTTTTTGGGGAACTTTGGGAAAGTCCCCCAGGTTTCCTGAAGTTCCCAAAAAAAAAGTTCCCCAAAATTCCCCAAAGTTCCCCTTGGACCCCCCCCCCCCCCTACTTAGACGGTATTCAATAAACAATATCAACCGCGATATCATCTTTATAATCTTTACATTAAATAATATTTACATCATATAGAATAGTAAGAATAAATCGCCCAAATCTCCCAGTGCTGAGCCGTCTGACACAGAAGCAGACTCCGCAGTGCTAGTTGAGACAGCACTAGATGACGACACTACATTTGTTAATCCTAACCACGTGGACACAGCTAACGGACACCGCGGTGGAGACGCTAGTATTGACGATATCAGGTTAGTTAGTTAGTTAGTTAGTTAGTTAGTTAGTTAGTTAGTTAGTTAGTTAGTTAGCTAATTAGTTAGTTAGTTAGTTAGTTAATTAGTTAGTTAGTTAGTTAGTTAGTTAGTTAGTTAGTTAGTTAGTTAGTTAGTTGGTTAGTTAGTTAGTTAGTTAGTTAGTTAGTTAGTTAGTCAATTAGTTAGTTAGTCAATTAGTTAGTTAGTTAGTCAATTAGTTAGTTAGTTAGTTAGTTAGTTAGTTAGTTGGTTTGTTAGTTAGTTAGTTAGTTAGTTAGTTAGTTAGTTAGTTAGTCAATTAGTTAGTTAGTCAATTAGTTAGTTAGTTAGTCAATTAGTTAGTTAGTTAGTTAGTTAGTTAGTTAGTTAGTTAGTTAGTTAGTTTGTTAGTTTGTTAGTTAATTAGTTAGTTAGTTAGTTAGTTAGTTAGTTAGTTAGTTAGTTAGTTAGTTAGTTAGTCAGTTAGTTAGTTAATTAGTTAGTTAGTTAGTTAGTTGGTTAGTTAGTTAGTTAGTTAGTTAGTTAGTTAGTTAGTTAGTTAGTTAGTTAGTTAGTCAATTAGTTAGTTAGTCAATTATTTAGTTAGTTAGTCAATTGGTTAGTTAGTTAGTTAGTTAGTTAGTTAGTTTGTTAGTTAGTTAAGTAGTTAGTTAGTTAGTTAGTTAGTTAGTTAGTTAGTTAGTTATTTAGTTAGTTAGTCAGTTAGTAAGTTAATTAGTTCTAGTTAGTTAGTTAGTTAGTTAGTTTGTTAGTTAGTTAGTTAGATAGTTAATTAGTTAGTTAGTTAGTTACTTAGTTAGTTAATTAGTCAATTAGTTAGTTAGTTAGTTAGTTAGTTACTTAGTTAGTTAGTTAGTTAATTAGTTGGTTAGTTAGTTAGTTAGTTAGTTAGTCAATTAGTTAGTCAATTAGTTAGTTAGTTAGTTAGTTAGTTAGTTTGTTAGTTCTAGTTAGTCAGTTAGTTCTAGTTAGTCAGTTAGTTCTAGTTAAATAGTTACATAGTTTGCAGGTTTCGGATTGCCAATATTTGCAGGTAAAACTGATTAGAATCATCCGATTCTGTTATGCTTTGAATGATGATATCGACTATAACAAAACTGGATTATTTCAGGCGTGTCACCCCCCCCCCACCCCATATTTCTATTTCAGGCGTGTCACCCCCCCCCCCCCCACCCCATATTTCTATTTCAGGCGTGTCACCCCCCCCCCCCCCCCCCCCACCCCATATTTCTATTTCAGGCGTGTAACCCCCCCCCCACCCCATATTTCTATTTCAGGCATGTAACCCCCCATTATTTCAGGCCAATAAGCCGGAACGAGGTACAGCACCTGGTGATGTCTAAAGGATCAATATTCGTGTTCGGATTTGGAGTGGTCGTGTTTTGTGCTATCATCAATATCACTCAACCGCAGTTTTAAGTTATTGAGATTATTTATTGAGTTCACATATTATAAGCTTATAACGTAAGACAGCGTGGGGGAGGTTTTGGAAGATGTAAGTGTAATTTATACACAATACCTTTGCAGTATGTATAAACTATACACAATACCTTTGCAGTATGTATAAACTATAAAGCGGCATACGGAGGGAGGGGGGTGGCAATAGTACAGTAACAGTATACATTTTATTCTTGATAAATTACAATTTATCTCCTATGTACTTATATATTTATATATATTTCCCTCCAACATAATCAACGTCTCAACGCTAAGTTGTTTCTGCTCGTTAATGCTGTTAATGCTCTCATCTTCTGTCAGAATATGCCCAAAAGGTGTCCGACCTTGTATACCATAATCTATCATGATTTTCATCATCATGACTTTCAGGTACTTTCCTTTGCGTCCGATTTTGCTCTATAATGTTTATATCGTTATTCACTATGCAGTGTGGTTGCAGTGTTGGACAGGCTGTTCACATATTAAGTAATCACTTTTACACTCCCCCTCAGTGATCACGTAGTGATGTGTGAACGACCCCTTAGTAGGTTATAATCATGAACCTACAGTAAATTTTATTCTAATTTAGTTGTGGTCTACGATTACTGTTTTACTGGTTTACTTATTTAAACCAGTTCACTGATCGCTCTACTCTTTCTTTTTCTTCTTTATTTTTTGTTTGTTTGAACAGAGTTTTGTTTATTTAGTACAAGATGTTTAAAGTTAATATTTTGAAGATTATCTAGTATTTTCGTTACTGTCATATAATATGATATGTGGAGGAGGGATTATTTAAAAGTGATACGAAAAGTGATAGTTTGCGGAGGAGTCCAACAATGGCGTTTTTCTTGTCGCTAATATGAGATGATTTTTACAATGATTGAACTTTGGATATCCTGTTTAAGCGGTGTGGAAACTAGAGTAGAATTTCTTAACGATCATTAATTTGGGATTTCAGCAAACGCCATTTCAGCAAATTATTCTTGCCATTCTTCTCATTGAGATCATTAAACATTTTATTATATATTATGTTAAAAATCGAGATAATTTTAGGGGATACAATTAAATTAAGATATTTTGATTTTAAAATTTAAAAGCTTTGTGAAATTTTGCTAGTTTATAATAGTTAAACAACGCTTTTTTGTTAGAAAATGTTTTTTTTTATATTATTATTATGCTCTACTTTAGATATAAAATTGGGATTCGATCTAAACAATATTATTTTGCAACTTTTCCTTATTCTTTGGATAACTCCTTGTTTCAAGAATTTCAATTACAAATTACAGATTAAACGTTAGTTTTACTCTTTAACTGTGATGGCTGTTCTTCTTAACTGGTTTATAAGAATTGTTGGTTTTTTTCTTTCTCAAATTATGACTCTAACTTGTTTCAAACAACTTAATTTCAACAACAAACAATTTGAAACCAACTGATCAAAGAATTGTGAAAAGGCCCATATACATTATACATGCATCATTGCTTCAGTTAGGGATTGTATCGGGTTAGTTGTCTCACTGCTCACGTCGCGACCCTCATTCCATGTACTAATACCGTGGCGAAAGCTGTATAGTCAATAGTACGGCTAGTCACTAGTAGGGTTAGTTGGGATCAGATTAGAGGGTTAGGGGTTAACCTAGAGAACGTTTAAAAAATGTCGAGTGTAGAGTGATTAATCATCATTGGCTTCACATGGCCATGATATGCGCTCCTAGTCCTACATGATATGAGTCTACGCGTACTGCGGGATCGCGCGCTAGTAGTAGTACTGCAAGCGAGAGGGCTCTGGTTAGAGCAAATCATCGGCCGTACTTGATTGACGATGTCAACCCTTCCAGATCGTTGCTCTGTAAAGCAACGATCTAGTCAGCAAGAAGAAAGTTTACACAACTTTCATGATCATAGACACTGATCTACAGATATTTTGACATTTTTTACTGCTTAACGATTGCTTTTCTTGCTCATTGTCTGAAAAATTAATTTACAAATTATTATAGTTATACGGGTGATACTCGTAAAATTTTTCTTTCAATTTTCAAATGTATCAAGACTGCGTACGTTTGACGAGTCTAACTCGGCGTGCGTCTTGGTAGGTTATAATAAACCTACAACAAATTATTTGCTAAAAGTAAAATTTTAAAAACGTAAAAAAACGATGAAAAAATTTGGATTTTTGATGGTTTTGAATTCAGAATTTGATGGTCAAATAAAAGTCCGATAAGGTATGTAAATTTGTAAGTGTAGCTTATTTATCTTTTTAGATTTCTTTTAACTAGTAGTAGACAGTAGTTAGTACAAATAGTATTAGTAGTATAACTGTTATTACTATAACTATAAGTATATCTGTATATATTTGACCAAAACCCATAATCATGGGTAGAGCGGACTAAAAATAAACTTGCTAAACAACTTCCAAAGAGCCTTATACATTATAATAGCCTGAATAAACAGTAAAGGGGGTATATTAGTATACAGATACTAATAGTAGTATGGAAGGTATTATAATGGCAACGGTCATGCATGCCAGTTGCTCTAACCAGAGCCCTCTCGCTTGCAGTAGCGCGTCACGCAGTACGCGTATACACATATATCATGGCTATGTGAACATACCAGCACTTTGATAATACGCTTTGGCAGTCAATTGTAGTTTAAATTTAAGCATGTCCGTAGATTCTCATTCAGAAGATTTAAAAATACAACCATTTCGGACCACAGGTCTTGAAGATAATCGTTTAAGTTAATTGTTTTAAAAACTTGATTTTTGAAAAAGTAACAACCTTTTAAATCAATTTTACACCATTAAACTTCAAACTTAAAGAGCAATTTTATTCAAAATTTGAGGGCTAAAATTAAATAATTGTTAATTAAACATTCAGAAAATCTACGGAAAAGCGCAATTATATTGTACTTGTAGGTTTACAACCTACCAGGACGCGCGCCGAGTTGGACTCGTCGACGCGATATGGAACAGATATTTTACGAGTATCACCCGTTAATTATAATGTATTTCGCACGGAACACAAGGTCATGACTTGTATCACGTCGTGACCCCTATACTAGTACTACTATTGTCATTTCACTAATTATAGTATCGGGGTGAAAGCCACGATACTCATACAGCCGCGCACTCGTGCGCGTCGGGCCTACAAGTACAATACAACATGGGTGGTCGTACAGACAGACAGACCGAAATAACTCTTCGAATTATAATAATGACTAGAAAGCCCGTGGTCACAAGGAGGAAGCTCATAGTATAATAACTATAACATATAACTATAAATATTTTTAGTAGTCAGTTGTTATAATGCATCAAAAAACATTCGTCCCAACCGAAGATATATATAAACGATTATAATGTAAAACACTCTAAACACAACGTAATATAACAACAAAACCGATTGTAGGTTAAATTTAATAACCTACCAAGACGCGCGCCAAGTTGGACTCGTCGACGGTCTTGAAATATTTGAACATTGAAACAAATATTTTACGAATACAACTACAAGTATTACCCGTTAAGGATGACTAGACGTTCCAATAATCATTGCACGTGCGCTTTTCCATTTGTGTTGCTATGCAACTTCTTATTCTTCATCTAATTTGCACGTGGGCGGTCGTACAGACATACATTCTACGAATCTACAGAAATAATCTTTCGAATTATATAAGTAAGATGACTAGAAAGCCCATGGTAACAGGGATGAAGCTAGTAGTTTTCTATTTATTTGGCAGTCAGTTTTTATCGCATCAAAAAATATCCATCACAACCGAAGATACTTCCGATTTAAATGTTAAACACTTTAAACACAACGTGATTACCACAAAACCGATCAAAATGCCGTTCCAACAATCTTTGCACGTGTACGTGTGCATTACAACACCGTTGCTATGCAACCTTTTGGTTTTAACCTAACTTCCTATGTATCGTCTGATTTGCACGTAGGCGGTCGTACATTATACATTACTAGAAAACCCGTGGTCACAGGGAGGAAGCTAATAGTATTTTTTGTTAGTAAGTTTAAATCGCGTAAAAAAATAACCTAAACAAACCAAAGATACAGCCGATTTAAATGTTGCTCGTACTTAACACAGCGTAATAATAATATCAACAAAACCGATCAAAATGACGTTAAAACAATCATTGCACGTGCACGTGCGTGTAGCAATCCTTGTTACCATGGTTACTTTGCAACCTTTTGCTTTTTACCGAATTTGCACGTGGGCGGTCGTACATACAGAAAGAATTCTCTGAATTATAAGTAAGACTAGAAAGCCCGTGTTAACAGGGATGAATCTAGTAGTTTTCTATTTCTTTGGCAGTCAGTTTTTATCGCGTCAAAAAATATCCGTCACAACTAAAGATACAGCCAATTTAAATGTTGCTTGTACTAAACACAGCGTAATATCAACAAAACCGATCAAAATGACGTTAAAACAATCATTGCACGTGCACGTGCGTGTAACAATCCTCGTTACCATGGTAACTACGCAACTTCCTATTTCTCGTCTGATTTGCACGTGGGCGGTCGTACAGTGTACAAACAGAAATAATTCTTTGAATTATAGTAGAGACTAGAAAGCCCGTGGTAACAGGGACGAAGCTAGTAGTATTCTTTGAAAGAAATTTTTAATCGCATCAAAAAATATCCATCTCAACCGAAGGTACAGCCGATTTAAATATAAAACACTTTAAACACAACGTAATTACCACAAAACCGATCAAAATGACGTTAAAACAATCTTTGCACGTGCATGTGTGCATTAAAACACCGTTGCTATGGAACGTTTTGGTTGTTACCTAAATTCCTATTTCTCATCTAATTTGCACGTGGGCGGTCGTACAGACAACAACATCAGAAATAATTCTCTGAATTATAGTAGAGATTGTACATATACAGAAATAATTCTTTGAATTATAGTATTGATATTTAATCTGACACATTACCAATACCACATGACAGTTTTATATATTACAAGTCAATACTTTTTACGTTTTAACCTTATTATGAAGTTATGAACTTATGAATGGTGTCTTAAGTCTTAACTGTATAATTGTATAGTAGCAGTAGTAGTACTCTAGTAGCAGAGTGTAGTTGAGTGTGCACTTCGATGGATCCACGATTTCTGACAACACATAGTGAGAAAGTGATAAAATAAAGCACACTTTTTAGTACTTAAACGCACCAGAAAATTAAACGCACTTCAAACACTTTTCTCGAAAAATCAACGCACTAACCACGCTCCCACTAAATTGCTCGCCCAAATTTTAAGAAAATTCTTGTGAAAAGTTCCTGAGGGTATATAATTAATCATTATATATCATCATAAGAGACTTACCCTTTCAGCAACAAGGAAAGAAGGGCTGAAGAAAGGACTGAATAAGTATTTTAACTGAATCTGTAATATTATATAACCTTACCTGCAGTAAACTGTAAAAATGTTTGTTTTCACAATCTACTATGACGTTGATTTGATAAGTCAATTTCTCATTGCAAAATTATTTTGAAATTATTTCGACAATACTATATTAATAAATTAAATAATTGGAATATGAGTAGATTTATATAGTACTATATTTCTATAGTATAGTAATAGTTTTTGTAAAATGTACGACTACGTTGTCCGATAAAATCTTTTCTTTTCTCGAATCTGAACATCATAATGATAAATCCAATATACTAGTCTCACTGATTGTCGCAGTCAATATATTAATGCTTTTCATTCATACAAGTTAAAACAAATTCTTCTTTTAGTGCATCCTGGGTTTGGACAGGATATGCCTGCTTAAAATATTTCCATCACGTTACATTACATAATTCTCAATAAATGTAATAGATTTGTAATGTAGCTCCTGTTTATCAGCTCCCTCCCTCTAGCTACCTCCTGTTTATCAGCTCCCTCCCTCTAGCTACCTCCTGTTTATCAGCTCCCTCCCTCTAGCTACCTCCTGTTTATCAGCTCCCTCCCTCTAACTACCTCCTGTTTATCAGCTCCCTCCCTCTAGCTACCTCCTGTTTATCAGCTCCCTCCCTCTAGCTACCTCCTGTTTATCAGCTCCCTCCCTCTAGCTACCTCCTGTTTATCAGCTCCCTCCCTCTAGCTACCTCCTGTTTATCAGCTCCCTCCCTCTAGCTACCTCCTGTTTATCAGCTCCCTCCCTCTAGCTACCTCCTGTTTATCAGCTCCCTCCCTCTAGCTACCTCCTGTTTATCAGCTCCCTCCCTCTAGCTACCTCCTGTTTATCAGCTCCCTCCCTCTAGCTACCTCCTGTTTATCAGCTCCCTCCCTCTAGCTACCTCCTGTTTATCAGCTCCCTCCCTCTAGCTACCTCCTGTTTATCAGCTCCCTCCCTCTAGCTACCTCCTGTTTATCAGCTCCCTCCCTCTAGCTACCTCCTGTTTATCAGCTCCCTCCCTCTAGCTACCTCCTGTTTATCAGCTCCCTCCCTCTAGCTACCTCCTGTTTATCAGCTCCCTCCCTCTAGCTACCTCCTGTTTATCAGCTCCCTCCCTCTAGCTACCTCCTGTTTATCAGCTCCCTCCCTCTAGCTACCTCCTGTTTATCAGCTCCCTCCCTCTAGCTACCTCCTGTTTATCAGCTCCCTCCCTCTAGCTACCTCCTGTTTATCAGCTCCCTCCCTCTAGCTACCTCCTGTTTATCAGCTCCCTCCCTCTAGCTACCTCCTGTTTATCAGCTCCCTCCCTCTAGCTACCTCCTGTTTATCAGCTCCCTCCCTCTAGCTACCTCCTGTTTATCAGCTCCCTCCCTCTAGCTACCTCCTGTTTATCAGCTCCCTCCCTCTAGCTACCTCCTGTTTATCAGCTCCCTCCCTCTAGCTACCTCCTGTTTATCAGCTCCCTCCCTCTAGCTACCTCCTGTTTATCAGCTCCCTCCCTCTAGCTACCTCCTGTTTATCAGCTCCCTCCCTCTAGCTACCTCCTGTTTATCAGCTCCCTCCCTCTAGCTACCTCCTGTTTATCAGCTCCCTCCCTCTAGCTACCTCCTGTTTATCAGCTCCCTCCCTCTAGCTACCTCCTGTTTATCAGCTCCCTCCCTCTAGCTACCTCCTGTTTATCAGCTCCCTCCCTCTAGCTACCTCCTGTTTATCAGCTCCCTCCCTCTAGCTACCTCCTGTTTATCAGCTCCCTCCCTCTAGCTACCTCCTGTTTATCAGCTCCCTCCCTCTAGCTACCTCCTGTTTATCAGCTCCCTCCCTCTAGCTACCTCCTGTTTATCAGCTCCCTCCCTCTAGCTACCTCCTGTTTATCAGCTCCCTCCCTCTAGCTACCTCCTGTTTATCAGCTCCCTCCCTCTAGCTACCTCCTGTTTATCAGCTCCCTCCCTCTAGCTACCTCCTGTTTATCAGCTCCCTCCCTCTAGCTACCTCCTGTTTATCAGCTCCCTCCCTCTAGCTACCTCCTGTTTATCAGCTCCCTCCCTCTAGCTACCTCCTGTTTATCAGCTCCCTCCCTCTAGCTACCTCCTGTTTATCAGCTCCCTCCCTCTAGCTACCTCCTGTTTATCAGCTCCCTCCCTCTAGCTACCTCCTGTTTATCAGCTCCCTCCCTCTAGCTACCTCCTGTTTATCAGCTCCCTCCCTCTAGCTACCTCCTGTTTATCAGCTCCCTCCCTCTAGCTACCTCCTGTTTATCAGCTCCCTCCCTCTAGCTACCTCCTGTTTATCAGCTCCCTCCCTCTAGCTACCTCCTGTTTATCAGCTCCCTCCCTCTAGCTACCTCCTGTTTATCAGCTCCCTCCCTCTAGCTACCTCCTGTTTATCAGCTCCCTCCCTCTAGCTACCTCCTGTTTATCAGCTCCCTCCCTCTAGCTACCTCCTGTTTATCAGCTCCCTCCCTCTAGCTACCTCCTGTTTATCAGCTCCCTCCCTCTAGCTACCTCCTGTTTATCAGCTCCCTCCCTCTAGCTACCTCCTGTTTATCAGCTCCCTCCCTCTAGCTACCTCCTGTTTATCAGCTCCCTCCCTCTAGCTACCTCCTGTTTATCAGCTCCCTCCCTCTAGCTACCTCCTGTTTATCAGCTCCCTCCCTCTAGCTACCTCCTGTTTATCAGCTCCCTCCCTCTAGCTACCTCCTGTTTATCAGCTCCCTCCCTCTAGCTACCTCCTGTTTATCAGCTCCCTCCCTCTAGCTACCTCCTGTTTATCAGCTCCCTCCCTCTAGCTACCTCCTGTTTATCAGCTCCCTCCCTCTAGCTACCTCCTGTTTATCAGCTCCCTCCCTCTAGCTACCTCCTGTTTATCAGCTCCCTCCCTCTAGCTACCTCCTGTTTATCAGCTCCCTCCCTCTAGCTACCTCCTGTTTATCAGCTCCCTCCCTCTAGCTACCTCCTGTTTATCAGCTCCCTCCCTCTAGCTACCTCCTGTTTATCAGCTCCCTCCCTCTAGCTACCTCCTGTTTATCAGCTCCCTCCCTCTAGCTACCTCCTGTTTATCAGCTCCCTCCCTCTAGCTACCTCCTGTTTATCAGCTCCCTCCCTCTAGCTACCTCCTGTTTATCAGCTCCCTCCCTCTAGCTACCTCCTGTTTATCAGCTCCCTCCCTCTAGCTACCTCCTGTTTATCAGCTCCCTCCCTCTAGCTACCTCCTGTTTATCAGCTCCCTCCCTCTAGCTACCTCCTGTTTATCAGCTCCCTCCCTCTAGCTACCTCCTGTTTATCAGCTCCCTCCCTCTAGCTACCTCCTGTTTATCAGCTCCCTCCCTCTAGCTACCTCCTGTTTATCAGCTCCCTCCCTCTAGCTACCTCCTGTTTATCAGCTCCCTCCCTCTAGCTACCTCCTGTTTATCAGCTCCCTCCCTCTAGCTACCTCCTGTTTATCAGCTCCCTCCCTCTAGCTACCTCCTGTTTATCAGCTCCCTCCCTCTAGCTACCTCCTGTTTATCAGCTCCCTCCCTCTAGCTACCTCCTGTTTATCAGCTCCCTCCCTCTAGCTACCTCCTGTTTATCAGCTCCCTCCCTCTAGCTACCTCCTGTTTATCAGCTCCCTCCCTCTAGCTACCTCCTGTTTATCAGCTCCCTCCCTCTAGCTACCTCCTGTTTATCAGCTCCCTCCCTCTAGCTACCTCCTGTTTATCAGCTCCCTCCCTCTAGCTACCTCCTGTTTATCAGCTCCCTCCCTCTAGCTACCTCCTGTTTATCAGCTCCCTCCCTCTAGCTACCTCCTGTTTATCAGCTCCCTCCCTCTAGCTACCTCCTGTTTATCAGCTCCCTCCCTCTAGCTACCTCCTGTTTATCAGCTCCCTCCCTCTAGCTACCTCCTGTTTATCAGCTCCCTCCCTCTAGCTACCTCCTGTTTATCAGCTCCCTCCCTCTAGCTACCTCCTGTTTATCAGCTCCCTCCCTCTAGCTACCTCCTGTTTATCAGCTCCCTCCCTCTAGCTACCTCCTGTTTATCAGCTCCCTCCCTCTAGCTACCTCCTGTTTATCAGCTCCCTCCCTCTAGCTACCTCCTGTTTATCAGCTCCCTCCCTCTAGCTACCTCCTGTTTATCAGCTCCCTCCCTCTAGCTACCTCCTGTTTATCAGCTCCCTCCCTCTAGCTACCTCCTGTTTATCAGCTCCCTCCCTCTAGCTACCTCCTGTTTATCAGCTCCCTCCCTCTAGCTACCTCCTGTTTATCAGCTCCCTCCCTCTAGCTACCTCCTGTTTATCAGCTCCCTCCCTCTAGCTACCTCCTGTTTATCAGCTCCCTCCCTCTAGCTACCTCCTGTTTATCAGCTCCCTCCCTCTAGCTACCTCCTGTTTATCAGCTCCCTCCCTCTAGCTACCTCCTGTTTATCAGCTCCCTCCCTCTAGCTACCTCCTGTTTATCAGCTCCCTCCCTCTAGCTACCTCCTGTTTATCAGCTCCCTCCCTCTAGCTACCTCCTGTTTATCAGCTCCCTCCCTCTAGCTACCTCCTGTTTATCAGCTCCCTCCCTCTAGCTACCTCCTGTTTATCAGCTCCCTCCCTCTAGCTACCTCCTGTTTATCAGCTCCCTCCCTCTAGCTACCTCCTGTTTATCAGCTCCCTCCCTCTAGCTACCTCCTGTTTATCAGCTCCCTCCCTCTAGCTACCTCCTGTTTATCAGCTCCCTCCCTCTAGCTACCTCCTGTTTATCAGCTCCCTCCCTCTAGCTACCTCCTGTTTATCAGCTCCCTCCCTCTAGCTACCTCCTGTTTATCAGCTCCCTCCCTCTAGCTACCTCCTGTTTATCAGCTCCCTCCCTCTAGCTACCTCCTGTTTATCAGCTCCCTCCCTCTAGCTACCTCCTGTTTATCAGCTCCCTCCCTCTAGCTACCTCCTGTTTATCAGCTCCCTCCCTCTAGCTACCTCCTGTTTATCAGCTCCCTCCCTCTAGCTACCTCCTGTTTATCAGCTCCCTCCCTCTAGCTACCTCCTGTTTATCAGCTCCCTCCCTCTAGCTACCTCCTGTTTATCAGCTCCCTCCCTCTAGCTACCTCCTGTTTATCAGCTCCCTCCCTCTAGCTACCTCCTGTTTATCAGCTCCCTCCCTCTAGCTACCTCCTGTTTATCAGCTCCCTCCCTCTAGCTACCTCCTGTTTATCAGCTCCCTCCCTCTAGCTACCTCCTGTTTATCAGCTCCCTCCCTCTAGCTACCTCCTGTTTATCAGCTCCCTCCCTCTAGCTACCTCCTGTTTATCAGCTCCCTCCCTCTAGCTACCTCCTGTTTATCAGCTCCCTCCCTCTAGCTACCTCCTGTTTATCAGCTCCCTCCCTCTAGCTACCTCCTGTTTATCAGCTCCCTCCCTCTAGCTACCTCCTGTTTATCAGCTCCCTCCCTCTAGCTACCTCCTGTTTATCAGCTCCCTCCCTCTAG